TATGATATGTCTACATAATAAAAGCTATTCTTACTGGAAACTGCATGTTGGGAGAGGCAAGAGGAGAGTTAAACCGCAATTCTGAACAAACAAACAAAATGTTTTTTTAAAGGAACGCTAGTGTAACACTTGGGTGGCTAGGCTGTTAGGTAAGCAGTCATACTCCGGTTCCAACATTGCATACTTGTTCCAAGGCAGTGAAAAGGGTCGGCTTCACAGCCTCAGAACTGACACATGGCATAGAAGTCTTGATGTGGCTTCATCACAACGTTCTCACAAAGAGGTGTTTTACTTACCAGGTCACCTCCCCAGGAAAGAGCTTCTCAATTTAAGCATTGCTCAGCCCAGCAGGTGCATGCCGGTACAGTCTTTATCCAGCTATTCTTGGGAGTATGCATATTGTGCTTTGGGCCATGTACGCACAGGCCTCGGATGGTATAATAGCAGCGTGTACAGAAAGCCGCTACATTTGCAAAGCTTTTAGTTATTTTTAAACCGCTTTATTGAAGAATTTAAAGTACGCTTTTGAAGCAGTTTGGAGATTTTATAATATATATACACATACATACACACTGAGTGGCCAGATTATTATGACCACCTGACATTTGTAGGCAAATTAGCTTTAATTTGGCGCTGAAGTTGCTAGAGGGCCAGACCATTATAAATAGGGAAGCAGGTTGTTTACCACGACAGTAGAAGTTATTTGTTTCTGAACATACGAGCAGAGTGGGGAATTGTTAAACCCCCCGTCAGGTTTTCGTATACCACCTGTGTTGCATGGGGACGATTTCCTTCACTTCCTAGTTTTCTACGCACAACAGGAAGAAGAATCTTTCCAAAGTGAGAGACATCTAAGACAACTGTCACCACTGGAAGATTTTGGATATTCCCATTACTTGCAGTCCCGGTGATGCTGGTAACCAGGATAGATAGAGAGGGTGAACCTAGGGACACAGACAAAAATTAGAACATCTGGTAAGGTGACTCCAACAGCATAACTGGTCTCCCGTGTTTGGTACCCAGAAGAAGCTTAGAGTGTAAACATATATTGAATGGGCACCAGATCAAATGAGTGAAAAAGTTCAAAGAGTCTTTAATTATTCAGTCACAAAAGGAAAAACAGTTGCTAATCACATTGTCCAACAACATTCCAAAAAGGGAATTCCTACAACACTGAAAGAGATTTCTTTAGGTTCAAGCCTTTGAGTTCTTCTAAGTCCCCATATTGTTTCAATCCCAGATGAAAGAGGGGGGGGGAGTTGTTGCCCTCAAAATGTGTTGGATGGTTCTCTTTTGTTATTAAATGATGAAAGACTCTTTGGACGTTTTTACCCATTTGGTCTGGTGCCCATTCAGTTTGTCTACACTCCAAGCTTCTTCTGGGTACCCACCAAGGCAGACCTGTTATGCTGTTGGGAGTCACCTTACCAGAGCCAGTGAGCTTCCTTGCAAAACTTTGACGCATTTGGACTCTTGAATGAGCATTGATATCCCAGCGCCTCCTAAATATTTGGAACCCCCCCCAAAAAAAAAGAACCTGAAAGGGGCAGCAAGTGCTCCTCTGTTTTTTTATTTCTCAAACTGGATCTGAATGTTCTTTAAAGGCTGAAAGTCTTGCAAATGCTTTGTGAAAGCTTAATAGAAGCTGAAGCCCATGCGATACTCTCCTTAGGCATCCCGGCTGGTATTCGATGCTCACAGGCCCTGTAAAGTTGCGGTGCCAGCCTTCCAAAGCACGCACATACACAATGTGCTAATCGAAACAGAGAGGCCGCGGGGGGAGATTGACCATCACTGACGCAGCAAGACAAATGTCGGAGCCGGCGGTAAATGTGGAGGCAGGAACGACCTTCAAATACAACAAGTTGGAGAGTAAATCCCAGACCCGCCATGAAGCAATGGAACAATTTAATTTCTTGGTGACTCACACACAGGGCCTGTGGATGGAAAGAATTGGGGGCTGATGATGAATTGGGTCTAAGCACGAAAACTTTGTAATAAATTTGGAAGATGTTCGTATGGTGTAGAAAAGCTATCGGGACTTCTTCAGAGAAGGAAAACAACAAGCTCTGTTGTGGTCTGTCTGCAGTGCTGCACAAAGCAAAAAGAACAGATTTATTTACCTGATCCTGGCTAGACCGGTCCCTGCAGCCTCTTCTCTCCTGGGATCCGGTGGTCTAAGGACCGCTGGCGTTGTCACGTCTTATGCTGGTCCATTGACTTGCATTAGACGTGAGGATGTAAAGGGACATTCCAAAGCTGGAGCAGAGGTGAGGAGGAGAGAGGCGAGTGCTGACCGAGGATCAGGTGAGTGATAAATGCAGCTGAGTCCCCTAGACAAAACATAACCCATGGAGTGCAGGGGTAACTTTTTGATATGCCGGAGTTCTTCTTAAAAGTGAACCTTTCAGTAAGTTTACAAGCATGCATGAACAAATTCCCGGTGACACCCACACTTTCCCACTTCCTGCCCTAGTGTCCTTGAGACAGGAACTAGAAGGAAATCTCTGAAATGAGGACCAAGCATTAAATATCTAACCGAGTATTCTGACTCTTACCCAATCTATCAGAGAAAAACAAAAGGTTTGGGCTTTAACCTTTGTGCAGAATTCTGAAAGAGGCTGTGAGCCAATTATAGGGCCGGAGGAAGATTTTTTAAAATTCCTGTTGCCATGGACGCATTTTATTTATAAGGAGAACTCGGAATGTCATAGCTGGCTGCGGAATGATAAGAAATCGCACAAACACAGCCGAAATGCCCGTTTTTTTTATTCCACTTTTTTTTCCTGAACGAACCTGGAGATTACCCGCGCACCTGAATTCTGCTCACAGAACTCCCTCCGGAGCCAACACTGCGCCCAGCTGACATGCACTCTAGCAGGTGCTAAACGCATTTTGGATCTGCTCTATCACACCGGTGAGATGATTAGGTAGCTGGCATAACGTCTACCAAGCAGAGGGCACGCCGTTCCCGCTCCCAGCGGCACGGAACAAGCAGGTGAAACCGCGGCGGAAATGTTGTGTCAGCTCAGGTGATAATGAGGTATAAGCCGGGCAGTAGAGCCAAGGCGAAGGCTCCAGCCCAGAGCTGTGTACGCATGAGGACGCCGCCAACCCGCTCATCAACAACTACCCATACACGCAGCTCTTGGCATCTCCCCTCAATAACACATTCCCCTTCTGTTCTAACAGGCAGCCTGCAAACTATTTTGCTTTTCTGAGGGTGGAGAGATCATTTGTTTTCTTTCTACTGAAAAGGGAATTTTAATGATCGTCCCTCTGCACACTTTTTCTTTTCCCAATTTAAAGGAAACCTCTAAGCCGGGGGGGGAGGGGGTGTTGGCAAACATGGCGCTCCAGCAGTGCTGAAAGTGCCATCATGCACTCCGTCTATGCAAGTCATGCCTGTGGCTGTCAGAGTCTTGCAATGCCTCATGGGACTTGTAGTTCCACAACAGCCGGTGTGCCAAGGTTCCATGCATGGGTAAGTGCTCTAAGCTTTAATCCAGCATGGTGGCAAAGTGATCAGGACATTGGCGGTGCATGCCCTCTGATAGCATTGTGGAATATGTGGCTTCTATGACTTGCATTGTGCATATTACATAGGGGGCTCCGGTGTGTCCTGCCGTAGGAAGAGCAAGACGCATCGAACTGACGAATGAGGAAAGTTGGGAAAAAGAAGGATGCACAGCATTATGTACAGCTAGACCGGGGGCAGGCAACCTTGACACTCCAGCTGTGATCAAACTAGACCTTTTTGTAACCTTACAAGACTGCATGAATAATTTCCTGACATATACAACACAAGTATAGATATCATGAAAAAAAACCCCTCTGCTTTTTATAATGTAAATGCCGTCCCTGAGCTCCAGTCAGTGACTTCTTAGGCCGAAATGAATATGTATAGAATGTATGAGAAAGCTGATGTAAGCTGTTCACTTTACAATAGACTTCAGAATGATTCGGACTGAAGGGGGAGAAAACGGGGACCAGAAATAATCCAACAGAACTCAGTTCAGGGATTGGCAGAGGGGGGCAGGGGATGGAAGCCAGTGGAAGGATTGGCAGAGGGGGGGGGGGGATGGAAGCCATTGCGGGGATTGGGAGG